TTCTTGAATATATCACTAGATCCATTCAAGGGCAAACAATAAGTATGTTGATAACAAAGAATAAAACAGATCAAATTCAGTAAAGAAAAATAATTCTACCTGAATATGTCCCGGTAATCTTCGATGAGTAAAAATGAAAACGGATGTCTTTGTTTTTAATTGAAACATACATCCGCATATTTATTTGCTCTAGATATCATTAAAATACATGTCATACAATTTTTTCGATATGAACTAATACACCAAATACTATAATTGATGCTCTCGATTCTGAATACCATTCAATTTCTTCATTTGAAATATATTCACATATTGGCGTTGTACCATAACCAACTGTTTCACGTTGAATTTTGAATGTCCCTGGCTTTTGTTTACATTGTAATACGACTCGAACATCATACTTTTCACCATTTGCCGATGTAAATTGTATTTTAGGACAATATGTAGATAAACTAGAATATTTAATTGTTGGGGATGTATAAAAGTGATTCATGCCCGGAATCTAAATTATTCGACAAAAAACATCCATTCATATCATATCTCTAATTAAGAATACTATCGAACATTTATAAGTTTGAAAGCAAAGATGTATGGAAAACAGAAAGAATTTGTTTTCTTATTCACTATGTGTTCCCTTTACAGAATTTCATCTCGTTTCTTCTTTAATACATGTGATTGACTTGTTAATCTACTTCATAGACATAATATTCTACTTACATGTTCACGATGTATTTCTAGTTTTCTCCCATCTAATAATGTATCTCCTGGTAATAGAAATTGTCTATGAACTAATATTGATTTAGCTGCTGTCACTGATGTACCATGATATGTATTAGCCCAATTCTTCCATATATCGTGAATTCTAACAAATGTTTCATCTATTCGAACACCAAATCTCATCCATCCACGTGGAAGGACACATTTAAGTTCACCAACTGTATATGTCCTTAGCCAAGTATCTAGATAACATTTATTACAATAACATTTATTATAGTCTTTATTAAATAATTCCTGTTCCCATTTTAAACTATCAATGAATTGTTCACATAATAATGAATATGAACATTTATCTGTAATAGCGTTCATGTGAACTAACAATCCACAAATGACAACTGATGATAATGTATCTGAGTACCATTTGATTTCATTATTTGGTATATGGGCACATATTCGTTTAGTGGTAGAACCGACTGTTTCTTTTTGTATTTGAAATGTATCTGGTTTTTGTTTACATTCGAAAACAAGTTTGATACGATATTGTTTATTATTAGATGACGTGAATATTGTTTTAGAAGAGAATTTTTCAGAATATTTTATAGTGGGTGATGAATAAAATTGATCTTTTTCTGTTAAACGATTTTTTTCATATGATGATTTAGCCATACTAACAGATGTACCATGAAATGAAGTAGACCATTCATTCCATATATTGTTACTTGTTGCAAATTGTCTATTGACTTTTAAACCAAATCGAATCCATCCTCGAGGTATAACATATTTATGTCCACCAACAATTTTACAGTTTTCGGAATTATTCGTATAACAGTTCTTGCAGTAACAACGATTGTGGTTTGTATTAAAATAGTTGAGAGGCCATTTTAAGCTATCAACAATTTCTTGACATAATTGTAACTGAGGACATAATGTTTGAGGTGTCGCTGAACTTATTGCTATGTCACTCGGTTTGATTCAGACTGAAATATTGAGGGACTTACAGTATGAACTATCTATGCAAAGCGTCGTTTTAGTGTCCACTTGTTATGTGAAGTCATGAAAAATGATTAAATAACTAACCATTTATCGATAAAGAAACAGTATCTTCTAGTCTAAATTAACCAATTGGCTGCCTTCAACAATCATGATGAAACGATCATTACAAACTCACTTTTTTATTACTAGCTGTTACATCTTAAAACGCTCACTAATCTTCTCACACTCTATTGCTGTTGTTGTTTATTTCTTTTATGATTAAATCCGATAGTGTTTTAAACACTAAGGTTTCCACTTTGCAGTTCGAATAAATATTGTTGAATTTTGAAGCTGAGTAACTACTATCGCAGTCAAAATACAAGAGTAGTGATTATTTTTTGAATAACTCAGCACCAAATAAAGATAGAGGCTTTTGATTTTTGCCATTCGATAGCCAAGACTTGAGGTGATCTTTTTACAAGCAAAATCGATTTTTGGAAAACTTTTCGAAGCCGGATTT